AGAAGTGTCAGCTATCGCCTTTGCGCACGAGTTATTCTTACTTTTGGAAAACCTATATGGCGCGGTATGAGCATTTTTAGACGAAATGAAGAGTGATATGGAATATGGCTTGCTCGAAAGCCTCCTCACCATATATTGCAACGTTGGGCGATTTTCACTTTTCTGGCAGACCGGAATCAAAGAAGGCAGGAGCAAGACTAGGCGGTTTGTTAAGATCAGCAGGAGCAACCGTCAACAACATAAACAAGGCACTAATGAGGCAATGAGGCAAGGAGAGAAAGGCCTCGCCAAGGAAAGAGCAAACGAGGTAAGTGAACAACATAGTTTAATATTCGACAGAAGATGCAAAGACCACAAGGCCGCGCTGGTTCCTCGACGTGCACGCTACGATCGTCCAGAATGCATACAAAGGCAAGAAAAGGAAGCGACAAAATACACAAGCCTCGACAACCCAATGAATAGAAGGCGTTGCTGCGTTTTGGCGCCTAGCACCATGCTCGACGTGACAGTGACGACCATAACATACCAAAAACACCAAAAAAAAAAAAAAAAAAAAAAAAAAAAAATCCCAACATGGTGGAGGACAAACTCTCCTTCCGCAGGCAAAGCGGAAAGTGTCCGCCCGGATCCAGCACGCATCGTTGCCGTTTGGAGTATGGCGCCGTGCCGCCCGCCACTGCGGCCTTTGCAGATATCAGATGGAGAGTCTCCAGGAGCCGCAAACTCTGTAAAAGTCCAGGAAAGAAGGAGGTAACATTGATGACAGAGAAACACGCCGCAATGTCAATGCTGTTGGCACTCTGTCGTCCATCTCGTTCTCCTTATTTTCTCCGTTCTTTCTTCTATTTTTTAACTTCTCTGTCTTTTCCATCTTTCGAACAGAGATCCAGCCAGTTGGGGGATACCAGGAGAGGCGACGGGAATACGACGTATTGCGTCGACCTTACAGTAACTCGTCTGTGGATTGGCCTCGGATACCTGGGGTGACAGTGGAGCCCGCGTGTTGTTGGAACAGTGATGGGCGACTGGGATGGGATGCCCTTGGTCGGCATTGACAAGGCTGAGAAGGGGACAAAGGAATAAAAAAATCAGGAGGAAATGAGCAAACATTAGATACAAAGTACAGCAGCACGAGGCACAGCGGGCACATTGGGCACATAGGACACAACAAGACAAACGAAGCAGACAAAGGAGGAGAGGTTCATGTCTCGTGTCGTACAGACTGTACATGTAAAAGAAAACTATAAAGTCGACGCATCTACCATTACCCACAGAGACAACCTTAGCATCGACTCAAGCAATGAACGAAGCAGGCTACTGTTGCCCATTCTTGCTGAATAGAAGAAGGGCCTGTGGCCGAATACGACGTGTTCCATTCCGCACATTGACCATGAAGCGATGACCGAGAGTTGAAATCCGAAAAGCGGACAGCATCAAAGCCGAATACGGGAGTGTTGCTGAACTGCCTTTCAGCCCAAGCTCCACCCCCATCCATGTCCCTTGTTCTTTCATCTTTTGCTGTCAAACTAGCTCAGCTTTGGTTCTTTTTGCTCCTCGGAAAACCCTGCTGGCTGGGAACACGCCGCAAATGCATCAACTGCCCAAGAAAATGTCCTCCGCGCGATGTTCGAAGTATGATGCCGAGGGACAGGAAGCAAGGAAACTAGCCATGTGTGCCAATGCCCTTAAGGTAGTGACTTTTTCTTCTTGTTTCTTCGCGTCGCGTTTTTGGCCTGTTGATGAAGCCAAGCGTGGTGGAAGCTAAATAAGTCGCAAAAGTGGTGCAAATGCATCACGATCATGGCAACCTTCGAAGCAACGGAACCCATGGAACCCATGGAACCCATGCCCACCGAACTACTGTCGGCAGGCAAAATTCCGTAGGACAAGTACGAAATACTCCGTACAAGGTTGGAATTAAACAGAGACAAGAAATGGGGAGGCTAAAGCAATCGGACATCAAGCTAATCGACTCAGTACAAGAAATGGACACCAAACGAGCCGCAAAGTTCATCCGCAAACTCACGCCATATGCAAGCCACGTTTTAACGCTTGTTTCTTAGTCTCAATACAAAATAACCTGCATCGTTTACACACACCGCCAAAAGCAGCGGTATTTTTAGGAATTGTCTTGGTAATACTGTTATGCTGCAGGATGTTTTCGGACCTGAGATACCAGGGCGTTCTCTCAGGTGCATGCTTTACCTAATTGCCAAGCCCCAGACTGCCCTAAGAAATCAAGACAGCCCCCCAACGAAAAAAACAAGCCCTGGCCCAGCCGGGTGGTCCTGTAAACCAAGGCAGAACAAAAGGTGAGGCATGTCTCGCTTACCTGCCCCAGAAGTAGTTTGGTCAGCTTGCCGATTTCAATCAGGACTTTCTGGAACGGAGTTGTTCAGCAGTCCGTGCAGGAGAGTGGTGCTCGTTTGCAGTTTACAGCTAGTCTCCAAGCACGGAGCAATACTCCATACGAGCAACGGTCGACGTCGTTTGGTGTTAGTTGGAGGGGGCCACCAGGCTAGCACAGAAAAGCAGACTTTCCTTTGTATTAGGGGTCCTGAAGTGACAGTCTTTCGTATGGATCGCGGTCTATACGGTGGGTGGAGTAGCAAAAATTCAGCATTCAGCCGCCAGTAGCATAGAAACGATACAACCGTCGTTGTTGTGCCTGGCTGAGCCGCCATCATGTTAGAGAGTGGGGGGCACGCTAAATTCCTCGACTTGTCTGTTCGCTTTCGTATTGTTTTGCGAAGTAATCTCGACCACTGATACGGAGAATGACTTTATTTGAACAGGAAACAAAAAGCCAGGGAGGCGGGGGTCACGAACCAAGAGTGGACAAGATGAGCTCCTTTCCGCGTATTTCGTACCTTCTGCGCATAATTTGTCCTCCCAGTGAACGAAAATTGAGACAGATATAAATGCGAGGCTTCGAGAGCGAAAGCGAGAGGAACGAGAGCCTGGAGCCCAGCGATAGCGGCTCAATATATGGCTCGACATTGGCACCCCTATTCCACCAAGCTGACCTTTTTTGAAAGGATGTTGATATGCAATTTTGTCGAATTGTGTATTGCTCGTGCGCGTTGAACATTTTCCTTTCCCAATTCCCCCCTTTGTTGGATGCTGGTTCCTTGAAAGGTTCCCATTTTGTGTGCAGTGACATTTCTCGACCACCTCACCGCCCTCGAGCTGTTTTTCAACATACACATGCCGAAAACTTGGAGCTGACTCACTGGCAGACATTACAACGACCACGGGTCAGCGCAGTTCGATGACACCCTTGTCTCCAGCTGAGATGCCGTACGAACAAGACCTAGGGGCAAAAACGCCACCAATACCTCGAAACTGAATGAACGCTCTTGGCAAACCTGCGGGGCGGAGGCCTTATGCGCCGCTTTTCACACGCTTTTCCACGGTGGTGCGACGCGTTTATTGAAAGACGATGACGGATATGGAAATAGAGAAAGGGGGCAGTGGAAGAACAAAACAAGGAAAAAAAGGGGTAAACAGGTGTAAATAAAAGTGACGACGCCGAACACACGAAGACGAAAGCATTGGTACTGGCGGAACAATGTGGCCAACAAGTCGCACAGGCTGCCTCCTAAAAGCAGGTCTCGCATTGGCAGCACTGGGGCACTATGACTATCATCACCGTCGTCTTATTCCGATTTGTCTGGGTGGAGTGGTGGTCGGGCAACTTTAACGAGACTTTGTATGGGGCATATTCCCGCGGGCACTCCAGCGGGCTCCCGATCGGGCAACTTCCGTGTTTGTGTACCCTCTAAGCATTGCGTGGCAGTCTCCACTTGCATCCCCGCCGAGGTCGTCTCGGGCGTGGCCGGCAAGCGGCTCTGCTAGCGCAGCTCGTGCAGGTGCTCCAGCAAGAGCCTCTCTGAGCCTCCATGGTGCCTGGACCCTTCGATTCGCGTTATGGTTGTCTTGCTGCCTTGCTGTCCCTTGTTTTCTTCAGCATGCGCGTACGACGCACGGAGTACGACCTCAGAGACCTGCTGTCGTCCTTGTACTCCGTGCCCACATGCAAGTCAGACGTCGTGCTTGGGTGCATGGAGTGGCCTCGCCTCGAGTCTTTCTGGCAATGGCCAGTTGAATGTGCAGAAAGGAGCTGTTGTTGGAGCTTGGACCACGGACGGCAACTTTGGAGAGTGGGTGGCCGCCCTTTTATGTACAATTTGTATGTCGTAGGCGGCTTCGTTCTCGCCCGTTCGTACCTTCCGTATTTGAGACTTTGTAGACAATCCCGGGTGCGGTCCCGGGAGCCGGATGCCGAAATGAGGCAGGTGCCAACTAACGGTACGGTTGCGCCTTCCTGCCGTCGCAGTTGCCCGGAAGTTAACCGAGCCACGATACTTGGCCGACGTATTATATAATTCTGAAATTTGCATCGCATCGCGACTCTCAAAAAGTGCCTTAGTATCATGGGGGAAAATGTGTTCCGTTTCATCAGCCACAATATCGCCGTCTTCGGCGTCTTAAGCCGCTGGTATCCTACAGTCAAATCAACAAAAGAACTCCTAAAAGCCCCAGCGTTAACGAAAGCCGGCCACTAGTTCCGACACTGGATTGCCGCTTGTTGCTTGTGGCAGGCTTCTCCTCACTCTCGCTCTCCATTCGCCTCTGTATTTGCCCGCGCTTGTTCTCCGCAAAAGCCGGTTTCAGTCGGGTGTTTCAGTTGCTTTTCGACTACGTTTGTGCAGTGAAGGAATACAGCGACGTTCAGTAAATTACTTTTAAAGATCGGGTGCGTTTCCGAGACGGCGTCAGTTGTGTGGATTGCGGTGCTATTCCCGCGTGGAAGCTTGCAAATGAGGGGCATGGGGACAAAATAGGCCGATCGTATCGCGGCCGCAGAGTCGCCAAAGTCAGGACATAATATCTGCCCACGTCCGGCACATCAATTCAATGTTGCAAATCATCCTCGACATCAACGTCAACACCAACCGCGTCCAAAGCTACTATTCTCTTGCTCGTACAGCTGCAACATGTCTGCGACTATGAAGGCCGTCGTCTTTGACGGACCCGGCAGGGTCTCGATCCAGGACCGTCCGATACCGCAGCGTGAGTCGGAGACGTACCTAATTCCATCTACCGTTCCGCTGACATGCCACACAAAAATGAGGAAACATCACACTATGCACATTGCACGAATCGAGCATCGAGATGTACTTTATCGTGACGTTTCTTGTCTCATTGTATTACGGTGGACGTCCATTCTAACAGCCCTCCCGCCTTGCAGTTGAGAACGACCATGACGTCATTGTCAAGGTGCAGGCCACGGCGCTCTGCGGGTCGTATGTTCTCGTTTCTGTCCTGGCACTCCTTCAATTGTCGTCAACATGCGTCCGCTCTTGCTAACAGGAACGCCAGCGAGCTCCATGTCTTCCGCGGCCACCAGCCGTCGGCCACCGGCTTCATCATGGGCCACGAGTTTGTCGGCGTCGTGACCGAAAAGGGCGCGGCCGTCAAGACGGTCGAGATTGGCGACAAGGTCGTCTCGCCCTTCACCACGTCGTGCCAAACGTGCTTCTACTGCCAGAACGAAATGTCGTCGCGCTGCAACGAGTCCCTGCTGTTTGGCTGCCCCAAGCTCGACGGCGGCCAGGCCGAGTTCGTGCGCGTCCCCAACGCCGACGGCACCGTCGTCCAGGCGCCGGCCCACGTCGACGACAAGGCCCTCGTGCTCATGGCCGACATTTTCCCCACGGGCTACTTTGGTGCGCGCAACGCCTTCCGCCTGCTGGCGCCCAACGTGCAGCCCGAGGACGCCGTCATCGTCGTCGTCGGCTGCGGCCCTGTCGGCCTCTGCGCCATTGTGGCGGCGCTGGAGCACAAGCCCAAGCACCTGTTTGCCGTCGACAGCGTGCCGAGCCGTCTGGCGCTGGCCAAGCAGCTGGGCGCGGAGCCGCTCAATTTCGTGGAGGACAAGGAGCGGATGGTGCAGCGGGTGCAAGAGGTGACCGAGGGCCGGGGCGCGGATGCGGTGGTCGAGGTGGTCGGGTTGAGCCCGGCGCTGCGGACGGCCTTTGACCTGATCCGGCCGTTTGGTGTGATCAGCTCGATTGGCGTGCACAATGCCGAGGTAGGCTTCGCTCGCTCAATCGTTCCAACGCCCACAGTCCTTTTCCTCGCCGTCGTCGCTAACACGTTCTCTGTTAGATTCCCTGGGACGGCAACGAGGCCTACAAGTAAGTGCTCATTACCCCCAGAAGTTCGGACGCCCCCCGCCGTGACCTCCGTTCTAACACGATTCCACGATTCCAGCAAAAATGTTCGCGTGCAGATGGGCCGCTGCCCTGTGCGTTCCATCTTTTCCGATGCGCTCGCGGTGCTGGCCAAGAAGCAGGACAAGTTCAGCTTCATGTTTGACAAGATCATGCCGCTCACCGACGCCGCCGAGGGCTATGATCTGTTCAACAACATGAAGGTCCAGAAGGTCGTGTTCACAGTGTAGGCGTGTGAGAGGAAATGCAGTCGCGCGAAATTGCAAAATTGGCGTACCAAATTGCCAAATTGACGTCGTTGTATTGTGCCGTTCATCGTATCGTATCGTTCCGTGTCGTGCTCAGTTCTGTCTGGGCTTCACGATGCCGTCGTGCATAAAGTAGTAGACCACCGACGAGTCGTCCTGAACGACGGCCAGCAACAGACGCTTCCCCCGCCGAGCGCCACGCCATGCCTTCCAGTCGTTGTCGTCGGCCGACGTGGCGGTCGTATCCGCCTCCCCGTCGATCGCCCTCGGCAACGCATCAATCGAGTCAAAGATGGCTGCAAACTGCCCCACTGTTGGCGTCTCTCCCAGGTGCACTGGCAGCACCCATTCGTACTCGGGCGGCTGTGGGATGCGTCCACCGGGGCCCAGCGCCCGTTCGGCACGCATGATGGCGATCTGCTCGTCCGGGTGGATGTACATGCGGCGCGGTGGGAGGCCGGACAACAGGGTGCGAGGGTGTCTCTGTGTCGGGCCATCGTCTCCTCCGTCGCTGTAGTCGTTGTGTTCGCCGTGGACGCGCATGTCGGTCCAGTCCTGCTGGTTTTCGAGGTTGTTCAGAACAATGTCGGCCAAATCACGGTCGAGCTTACGGCTGGGGCTATGGCCAGTGCCGAGTGTGGCCGTCAGGGTCGGCCCTTTGACAATATTCATGATTGACAACAAGAGATGCTGTGCCGTCAAAGAATGACAGGGTAGGTGTTTTGAGACGGAAGTTTGTTCTTGTACCTAGATGGTCAATTACTAGGAAAGCTGTGTTGGACAAATTTCTTAGCGCGGGTTCTGAACTTGTTTGCTTTCAGGCCCACAATTGTTCCATTGAAGAGCTCTAGCGTCACTATACGCCAAGCGCCAGTACCAGACAGTTAGAACGGTGCCAATAGCATATGAACTATTGTTTCGTGGGCCTTATTTCAGCCTTGCATCAAACGACCTCTTTTGAGCAGCAACGACCTGCAACCGTTCGTTGCAATTAGTTTAGTTAACGTTGCCTCTTTTACATGGGATATTTATAGCGTATATTATTTTCAATAAATTGTCAGGTACATTTATGTAAATGAAATAGAATAGAATAAAATTGATAATATTTCTTATTTCAGTAACATGTTACGCTGATTTTAGATTCACCTGAACAATGAATACTGTTAAGCTTTGACAACGTGCAAATTAACAGTACAATCCATACCCCATCTCACCGTCTTTGTCGAACAATAATTTGTCAGTTGAACAGAAGACTGAACAACATGAGAGCGGACGACTATAAAACGTTGAAAGAATCCTTCGAAAGTGTCATGTAGTGTCTTCTTTTCAGGCCGGCAAGTATCGTCATTCGATGGCAAGCAACAAATAAGATAAGATTTATTTATTTTATTTTTATGCACTTGCATTTGCACTGTTTCGATTCTTCGCTGGAACGCCCCATAGTTTGCCAACCTCGACTTGTCTCTTCCCTTTCGTCTTCTTCACTCCAACGACATCATGGGTTTCACCCTGGAAGAGATGAAGATGGTGCATGCTCGACTTAGCGATCTCATCGCGGCAAGTAGCCAGGAGCTGACGCAGACGACCGGTGTCCTGGACTTCGTCGCTGGCATCGACACAGACACACAGCAGCAGCTGGCCAACGCCGCGAGCAGTGTTCGTGGCCGCCGGGGCCGCAAGGCTGTCCTGAACGCGGAGGAAGAGACGGCCGAGAATCTTCGTCTGTATGCGGAAATCGAAGCCAAGATGGGCCGGGCGTGGATGAAGAAGTATGACCTGCAGGAGTCCAAGCGGCTTTTGGAGGCGAAGAAGTAGTGGCAGACAATAATGAAAGTAGATGGGACGTACGCGTAGTAGCCGTAATATAGAAGTGGCTGGCTCACTTTTCAAACCTCGTTTTTCTTTTTGTCCGTTGTCCCTTTCTTCCTACCGATTTGGCCTGAATATCAACAATTCTTACAATTTTGCCCCTACACCATGTGAACTCCAATACGTCGTGCACCATTTATTTTCCAGTCGCCTAAACTGACGTTTGACTGAGCCACAGAGGGTCGTCCTCCTGATTACGTACCGAACGGTTCTCCGGTGGCTGACAATATTGGCTCAGCCTTTCTTCAGGGCTTTATGCAAAACGGCCACTTGTAATGACACAATGGGACTGTCCAATGACCACTGCGTCCTTTGCCGGAGTGATTTTGGCAAAGGAGAATGTCACTGACGTCAATTTTGTGCCTATCGCCCACGGTTGCTGCCGTATGAAATACACCAGTTGATCAGAACATGTGTAAGATACATACGGAATATTCTGCACTCTGTCTCTCAATGCCCTCTGGCGGCAACGTCTGGCAAAGACCATCAGTAACAGTATCTTACACATGATATGTTACGTCCATCGTACTCTGGGTAGCATTATGTAAATGTGCAGCTTTATCGTGAACCTGTTCACGTGTACATCTTTACTATGTGAATACTCTGTGTTGGTTTGTTTCCCTCTGCTTTGTCCACTGTTCTTTTTCTTTACTTTCCTCCTCTTTGTTCTTCCCTCTCGTGCAGCGATTGCCTTTTTTTCTTAGCACCTAGTTCCTGCTCACTAACTGGTATTGGCTTGCCAACCGAGGAACTCTTAATGCTGGAGGCTGCTAGAAACCACGTTCTGTGCCTGGAAACTAGCACCAAGTTCCCTCTGTTTCCTCCACCGTCGCTGCCGATAGGCCACTAAGCCAGTACTAAATAAACGCTGACAGGACGAGAGGACCTCTTTCCAGGGGCTTAGCGGGGTTTTAGCGCTCCATTAGTGTGTAAATATACGGCGGCAGCGCATAGAAAAGATCAACACATGCAAAAGAAAAGCAAAATCTTCCCTCCGCTTTGCTGGCCTATTCTGCTGCTTCTCCTCTTTTCGATATACGGATGCGGCAGGTCGCCTGTCGCTCGCTGTATTTCCGCATCACGTTGTATGTGACTTCCTCGTGCGTCGTAATACGCCGTATATCCATCGCACCTGCCTCCTGCATCTACTTGCTCCGCTCTACCTGCCTGCTCGCTCTTTGCGAATGCCCCGTCACCCCGTGCTTTCGTGGACCGGTCGAGACTCTATCGTCGCTTCCCCCGTGCCTGCACTGACGCACCTCTCTCGGTCTTTCCATTTCTTGTTTTTCTGTTCAGCCTGCTATCGGGTCACGAGAATTGCCCAATTGCTCAATTGTCCCAACATCCACCCATAGCCTTAAATCGCCTGGAACGCATACCATCCCAAACTTGCAATCTGCCGTTTTCCATTTGCCGATTGCCCTCCATTCCTTGTCTTTCTCGTTCTGGTCCTCTCTTGTGTTTCGTTCCGTGTGTTTTCGCTGCCGTCTCCCGTTGCAACCACGAATTGCCCTGTTTTCCTGCAGCCGTGACTTGCGCCAACTTTCCCAGACGATTGTTTTGTTGATTGCGTCACTGGCTTTTCGTCTTGACTTGCCATTGACCTGATTGACTTTGCGAATCGATCGAAGTCATCGTACCGAGCGCACTGATCCAACGTATCCAATTGATTGAATTGGACGGACGACATCAGCGCACTCGTGTTTGCGGAGCACTCTGTGGCAGTGACGCGGCGACGATTTTCTCGCCACTGTCCTTTCTTTCCCCCCTTGTTCACACCCATCGGATGCCCAGCATTTCACCTTCTCCAGAGTGGCAATCATCATGGGGCAACCGACCGAGCCCACTTCTCCCTTGGAACCCTTTCCTGCTGCGACGGTCTCGCCAGGCATTGAAATGAGCTCTGTACCCGCCGACAGGAGCGATAGGATCGATAGGAGCGACAACTCGCACACCTACCAGACCTCACAGACCTCGCAGACGTCTCCCACTGCGCCGAGCAACGATCCCATCTTCAGCGACCGCCGCAACACCGTCGGCCGCGAGCGACGCGAGTCCGTTGCCGCCCTCAGCAACCCGAACCAGCGGTCCTCCGAAAGCATCCCGCGCAGGCTGTCCAAGAGCTTTCAGGAGTCCAACCTGCCGCCTGGTTTCCTCGCAGCCACCGCAGACATGACGTCGACCGTGATGACGGCGGCGCGCTCGCGGTCCAGCACGGGGCGCACCCGCTCGTCTACCGCCAGCGACCCTGACGAACGTAACAAGGCGCTGCAGCAACAGCGACAGCGGACGCCATCGAAAGGCGGCGACGGCACACTCGAGACACTCGACGAGCAGAAACACTTCTCGTCTTCATACCCGAATGGCAACGCCGACACGAGCAAAACATACGGCGCCAATGCGACCGCCGCCGGAGACGCGGAACAGAAAGAGGGCAGTGCTGCTGCCACCCTTGTCCGCCCGACGCTGTCGGCCGACGAAATACCCCACCAAAACGCAAACGTCAACAGAAACGAAGACGGTGCTGCACCAGGAAGCACACCCCCGGCGAACGTCCTTGCCGATGCCGACCTGTACAACGACTATGACAACGGCTACCACTTCCCGCCCAAGTACTCCACGGGCGAGTCGTTCCACCACGGCGCCGTCGCCTTTTGGCATTATGCCCGGACACCCATCGGGTTTCTGGTGGTCCTGTATGGCCTCAACGTTGTCGCATGGGGCGGCATGCTGTTCTTGCTGCTGTGCAATGCTAGCCCGGCCATGTGCTACCCGACATGCAACGACATCAACTCTCCGCGCCGCAAGTGGATCGAGGTCGACAGCCAGATCTTGAACGGCCTCTTCTGCGTCACCGGCTTCGGCCTCGCCCCCTGGCGTTTTCGGGACATGTACTACTACCTCCAGTGGCGCATCGGCAAAAAGGAAAAGGGCATCCGCCGCCTGGCCGGCATCCACCGCGGCTGGCTGCGCCTGCCGGGCTCGCAGGACCTGCCCAGCACCACGGGCCCGGGCAGCGTGCCCGCCGAAACCCCTTGCAGCGCCATCCCCTTCCCCGAGTCCAAGATCCCCGACAAGCCGCTGACCGGCCAGCGGGCACCGCCGACGCGCCACTGGGTCATTCTCTTTGTCCTGGGCATGAACATTGCCAACACGTTTCTGCAAGCCGTCCTGGCCGGCTTCATGTGGGGCATGAACCGGTACGACCGGCCTTCGTGGTCGACGGGCCTGTTTGTCGCCCTCGGCTGCATGGCAGGCGCCCTCGGCGGTCTCGGCATGTTTTTCGAAGGCAAGCGGGTCAAGGGTATCGAGGGCGTGCCGCTGACGGACGAGGACCGCGCCAAGCTGGCCCACGACCGCGAGCTCGGCATCTACCACTACAACAACCTCAAGGGCAAGCGGCCCAAGGACGACAAGCACACGCCCGACCTTGAGGCGGGGAAGACGTAGGGCAAGCCGTCCTTGCGTTGACGTTGCGTGCGGTGTCTGTCTGCTGTGCCTGTGTTTTATGTTCTTCACCCCGACATTATACCACATACGTTTTGTAGTTCTTCGTCCTATCCTTTTGTCTTTTTTGGTTTTCTGGGTATTGCTTTGGCTTTGCTTGTTTCTGGATACATACATACGTCGCACCCTGGCAGCAAAGGCGTTTTGGGCGCAGGAGCAAGGCCTCCTCGGATATCGGCCGTGTCATAGACTGTATTGTCGCTCTCGGGGTGTTGTCTTATTCATTCGCTGAATTCTTGCTATAATTCTTGTAATTGTCCACACATAGAGACACCGGGCCTTGTATCGCTATTTATAAGTCACAAGAACTCGCGTTCTCCCGCTTGATCCGAAATAAACTGCATTGCCGTCTCCATCATGCTATTGCTGCCAATGTACATTCGTACGCTAGGTGTGTAATCATAGCTACATCTTGAATCGATTTCGAACAGTCGGCCAGCATTGTCACATGATCCGCCAGCCAAAAGTCCAAAGAGTCGAGAACAAGTTCAATGTTGCGATAACGATAAGGACAGGCTAGAGGCGCCCAGGCGAAGCACATTCCCTAACGTAACGCGTCGCAACCGCTGAAATACAGGCCCAGAGCCCACCAAAAGCTTAGTTGGGTACAGCGCATGGAGCTTATTTCGCGTGGGCGACCCAATTCAGCAACCACCCCTGGCCCAGACGCCCAAAAAAGGGGAACAGCTGTCCACTGCTGCATTTGCATCGCGAGATTAGCTGTGATCGCTCCATCCTCGTTCGTTTTTGCATCTCGCGACAACTTTCCCAACAATACTTTTTGACCCGACCGGTGACGATCTCCCAATCCTCGATTTTACCTTTTTGCCAAAACACCTCCCCATCCTCCCACAATGGCGCCTACGAAGAACACCAAGAACAAGTACTCGGTGATTCTGCCGACGTTCAACGAGCGCCAGAACCTGCCCGTGGTCGCCTGGCTGCTGAACCGGACCTTTACTCAGGAGTGCGTTTGACAAGGGACGGAAGAAGAGGAAGAAAGAGAAGAAGAACATGCCGGACAAGACAGACAAGAATGACGAGGGAGACACTGCTGACGCTGGGCCTAGGAACATTGACTGGGAGCTCATCATTGTCGACGACGGCTCGCCCGACGGCACCCAAGAGGTCGCCAAGCAGCTCGTCAAGGTCTACGCGCCGCACGTCGTGCTCAAGACGCGCACGGGCAAGCTCGGCCTCGGCACGGCCTACGTCCACGGCCTGCAGTTTGCCAAGGGCAACTTCATCATCATCATGGACGCCGACTTCTCGCACCACCCCAAGTTCATCCCGCAGATGATTGCGCTGCAGGCCACGGCCGACTACGACATTGTCACGGGCACGCGCTACGCGGCCGGCGGCGGCGTGCACGGCTGGGACCTGCGGCGCCGCCTGACGAGCAAGGGCGCCAACATTTTTGCGGACACGGTGCTGCGGCCCGGCGTGTCGGACCTGACGGGCTCGTTCCGGCTGTACAAGCGGTCGGTGCTGGAGAAGCTGTTTGAGAGCACCGACGTGCGCGGGTTCGGCATGCAGATGGCGCTGGCGGTGACGGCCAAGGCCATGGGGTACACGATTGCCGAGGTGCCGATTACCTTTGTCGACCGCGTGTACGGCGACTCCAAGATGAGCGCGTCGGACATTGCCGAGTACGTGACGGGCGTCATAAAGCTGTGGCTCAAGGTGTAGGTGGCGGCCGGACGAGGCATTATGGACGTTTTGGATGCAAGAAAATACAATACAGGAGCGGGCAGGGGGGACACTTAATGGAGTGGAATTGTGGGAATTGTGGGAGTTGTGAGATTCGCGTCTACGCAACTGTACTGTTTCTTTTGTCACTTTGGGCGCTTTTACACACAACAAAAATACATTGGCATTTCTTTTTGGTTTTCTGTCATGGAGGATGGACCTAGAGTTTAAAGTCTGCATTCGTCTTCTCCCAGGCTTGGCCGTCGGCGTGCGTTTGGTCGGCCACGCGTTGTGCCAGGTTCAGCTTCATAGCCTTGGCGCGGTCGGTGCACAGCTCGTACATGGTGGACAGGTTGAAGAGCAGTGTGTGAGACGAGTAGCCGGCGTCGACGAGCTCTTCGAGCACAGCACGGCCCTCCTGCATCTGGCCGACGTACAGCAGGCACACGGCCAGGTTGACGCCAATCATCTCGTCGTCGGGCGCGTCGTCCCGGAGCGCGCGCCATGCCGCCAGCGCTCTCCTGTACTCGCCATCGGCCATATCGCAGAGAGCGGCCACTACGCGAGGTGCGAGGTCGCCCGCATCACCACTCTTGCCAGTCTCAAACGGCGAGCCCGCCGTGTCATCGCCCGCGGCCTGCGAGGCACCGTCGAGCCCCATGGCCGCCCGCGCAGCGTCCACGTCGCCCAGCTGCAGCCACAGAAGCGCCTTGGCCATGTCGATGCGGCGGGTAGCGAGTGTCGCTGTCGTCGTCGAGGGCGCCGATGAGGAGGAAGCAGAGGAAGGGGTCGACAGATTAGCCAAGTGCGCCGCTGCACCCGCCATGTCGTCCATTTCGATGAGCGCGCCGGCCACCTGGATGCCCAGTTCAGACAGACGCGCCTTCCACAGCTCGCGCACCGAGTTGTCGTGCGTCACCAGCGCCGCGGCAATGCGCACGCGCGCCTCGCGGGCCAGCTCGTAGTAGCTCATGACGGCGCGGCGGGGATCGCCAAAGCCCAGCGCCTGCAGGCGGACGTGCAGGACGCGCAGCGCCCATGGTGCGAGGTGGGGCGGCAGACCCGACGGGTCGTTGGGGTCGGCCTCGCCGCGATAAAACGGGCTGTTTAGATCTTCCAGCGCCTTGGCTTCCTGGGCGGCCAGCGACGTCATGTCGAGCAGCAGCAGACACGCCAGGCGGGTATAGAAGAGCGAAAAGATGCGGGCATGGTCGGTCGGATCTGGCTGGGCAACAAGCTGGCGGGCGGCCACGATGGCAGCGGCGCGGAAGTGGCCAGACGCGAGCAGGTCGGACAAGGCGGTGGCAGACAGATCGGCGGCTCCGACGGCCTCGTCTGGATTGGGCTGGCGATCCGATATGCGGAAAGGCTGTGGCACATTGGCGCCGGCAGCAGTGGCCGGCAGTGGGTGGTAGATTTCGGGCCGCAGCAGGTAGATGAAGTCTTTTGGGCGCGGCGACGGGGCTCGCTGTGATTGCGTTTTGCCAGAGACGGCCGCATCAATGCTTAAGCCGAGTCCAGCAGCTGCAGCACCACCTCCTCCGCCACGCGAAGGCGGCGGTGACTGCTGGGACGATTGGCTCATGGGCGAGCCGGGCCCTTGCCCAGGACTTCGTCGCCGTGCACTTGTATAACGCGAGGGCGTCAGGCCGTGGATGGACGCAGTTTGTGGTGGTGGAGAGAGAGGAGAGAGTTGTGACGAGGCGGAGGCGGCTGTCTGTGGTCGTATCGAGAGTGTTGATTGCGAGAGGGGGCTATCGACAGTTAGCGAGGTGACTGCTGCCGCGGAGAGAGCTCAGGCAGATGGCATACTCGTCTACGTCCAACGGGCCTTTTGTGGACGATCGTGGCCTTGCTGCTGTTGTTTTGTCAGTCGTCACTGTGATCTTTGATCTGTGATTTTCGTATCGACATCGACATCGATGTTCGTTCTGGAGGCGTACCTTTTGTGGACGATTTGTTGCGGACATGGCCTTTGCCGTCGCCGGACGGTCGTGATCCGTCCATTTGAGTGGTCTCGTCAATCAAGCGGTGCCGGTTAATACGTGTTGTTGGTTTTGTACCAGTACTTTTACGGTGGTGACGTTCCTTTGTAGCTGGAGAGAGCTCTATGGGAGAACTTAGGTGACCCGCCTGGAAAATATGGGGCAAGCTGTCGCAAACGCGAAGCCACACTGTGGCTGCACACTGTAGAGTACCTGCCGGCTTTTTGTTAGGACTAAATGTAGCCAATCAGATGCCGGAATTGCCTTTTTGGTGCTAAACCTTTGCAGGGAAAAAAAATATCGGGCGAACTTCGTCGTATTTGCAGCTCACATCGACGACGACAGACGACGCTCCACAACTCTACGACGTTTCCGCCATATGCACTCGTCCTACCACTCCACCTCTACACTATGCGCAGAATAGCACGGTTACCGAAGCCGACCGGCGCGGCGGTGGTCGAGTCCACAGCAGCACGCCCCAGCAGCCATTGCGCTTTCCGATGCCACGCCACAGCATCAGCGACGCCCTTGACGCCCTCATCTGCCGCAGCAGCCCGTTTCCGGTCCTCTCGGCCCGCCTTTCCCCCCTCCTCCCTCATACATGGCCGCCTCTTCAGCACCTCGATGGCGCGCCGCAGCGCCGACCCACAAAAACCAGCAGAGCCGACGACAGGCGTCGAGGCACTGAGCGAAGCAGAGCCACAAGAGCAGCTCGTGGCCGATGCGTGGCCTGAGCTGCCCGACGAGTCGAGTACACTGGCTGTCCCGGGCGCGGTCCAGGTGGCGCCCTTGCCGAGCCAGATCGCCGACTCGACATACACCCCCGCCGAGTCCGGCGCCGGGCTGGAGGAGGTCGGTGGCCTCGAGGGCTGGTGGGAGGACGACCAGCACTGGGACCCGTCTCTGGAGTTCCGCGGCTTCGGGCCGAGGGCGCCCGTGACGGATCCGGCCGTTCTGCAGGTGCTGGCGCGGCAGGCTGTGTCCGAGGCGCTGGCCGTGCAGCAGCAGCAGCCGCAGAATGCAGAGCTGCTGACGGGCAGGGCCTGGGCGCGCGGCAGCGATGGGCCGGCAGCCCTGGCCCTGCAGTTTGACGTGGCCGCCGACGGCAGCGTGGCGGGCGTGCACGGCGACGTGGCTGGTGTTGTGGCGGGTCTCCAGGCCGGGGCCGAGGCCGAGGCCGGGGCCGCAGAGGATGTGGCCACGCCGGCCGTCGAAGAAGCCCAGGCGCTGGTTGAGTCGTGGGCCGGTGACGCCAGCTGGAAGTCTATCTCTCTGCATGACGTTGCCCTCAAGTTTGCGGTAGGATGAAGGGTCACTCTACGAACGCACTGCACTTTTGCACCACTAACGTTTCTTTACAGATCAGCAAGCGCATCCTGCAGCTGACGGGCCACCTGCTGGCCGACGCCCACCTGGTTGAGGCGCGCACTGTCGGCGACCTGCTGGCCGTGCTCGTGCGCCCGCCCAAGGCCAAGAAGCTGGCCGAGGAGCTGGCCGCCGACGGCCAACTGGCCGCGCTGCCCAACGTGTCCGTCTACGGCCGGCGCGTGACGCCCATTGACAAGCACAAGGCCGTGGGCCGGTGGAAGGTGATTGTGCAGGAGCTGGAGAAGCGGAACCTGCCCGTCACGGGCACTGGTGGCTACAGCAAGAGCGTCGAGCGCAAGTGGTCTTACAACTAGACTGTTGCTGCTGCTGCTGCTACTGCTGCTGCTGCCGTGGCTCTCCGACAGCCACATTGTCTCCATGTATCAATATTCGCCATTCACCAGCTCGTACCGCTTTTTGCGTCGCATAGCACAACTGCCACACTGTACCTGTATCGGTTTCCATGTACACAAATAAAACAAATGATATATAATTCCCCGAATGCTCCTGACTCGACCCGGTCAAACATGGCAGACGGCATGCTTTGCCGTTGCCAAATGCCGAGACATTGAGAGTGCCGTGCTTCTTATTGATCCCGCCTCGATGACAGACGACCAGCGGCGGGCATCACAAAGCTCACTGCCCGCAAGGGGGTCTCGCCACGTGCTACAAGTATATGCCGATGGACGTAGATACGGATAGGAGACGGGTGGGCGGTGCTTGATGGTCTGGGCCTTTGGGCAGCAAAATACAAGAAAGAGGCCTATCATGCTAAGAAAACTTGCCGACTGGTCAGGGGGAAAAAGGAAGACTTCTAAGAATAAAGCTTGACAGGAAACAGAGTCCACATCTAATTTACTGGGTGAATGAAAGGATCATAGGAATACATCTACGTAGACTGAGCTCCACGACCCGGCCTCGCCTTTCACGAGATAGTCAGATAAGGTTCGGTTAAACAGAGAGGATAAAAAACGCAAATGTAAACGGGAACGGAGATTTATTATGCAGACAATAATGGAAGCCGATGCCCAGTCGAAGACAGATCCGCATCTGGAAACGATTCAATAGACGGCAAGGGTAAAATACGTGCGTTCTTGTCGCCGATTTATGTGTCGGATTGTCGTCTATTTGTTTACTTTTGCAGTGCCAAATCAGGCCAAACACGTGCCTCCGTGATGACCGGTTAAAGAAGATCGGATCGAGGTGCAGATGGAAGAATATTCCCGACTTGGATTTGGGATACAACGAGTCCGAGTCGGAGAAGAGAAAAGCAAAACTACAGACGAAATCATAGCAAAGCCAAAAAACAATAAAGACAAGAGAGACCGGCCATGACCATGTGCCTCTGTCGGACTCGGTTTGTAGGGATAATGACAACACTCCGATATACTGCAATGTGGACCATCAAGAGCCGAAGCGCTCTCGTCCAATGGCCGGGATGGCTTTATATAGTAGCGCAATTTACTATTGCCCGACTTCCCTGTCTTTGCGCCCGCCCTCTTCCCCAAACTCCATTTTGCCTCTCCCCAGATTTACATGTTTATATTAACCGCCGAGAATGGTCAACCTCGTCCAAGTCGGTTGATGAAGCGGGTCCGCGGCAGTTGTCAGACTACAGCCGGCTGCCACAGTCTGGGCACGAAAGGTTTGGAGAAGCCAGCACAAAAGAACACACTGACAAATAATACATCATATATCAATCAACATAAACGAGGCAATCAAAAACAGCGCACTATAGGCAACAAGAGCACGCATAGTAGGATGAGAAAATAGACTTTAGATACAGGAAACAGGACACAGGACACAGGACACAGGACTGGCCCCGGTCGGCTTTCGGTTTACCCAAATGAAATGAGATGGAGGATGCCACTATCATAACAGAGAAACGAGAATATGGACCAGGCCTTGGTATAAGAAGAACACTGGCTGTCCGGATTCCGATTCTTGCTCTTCTCTTCTCTTTTCTTCTATTTCTTCTATTTCTTCTGTTCCTTCTTGGCTTTTTTCTTCCTTGTTTCTGTCGTCGTCCAGTACCTCGAGTCGTGTGCTTCACCTTGAGCCATCCCGTCCTTTACTGTTTTACTTTGTATTGTATAATCGTCCCGCCTTTTCCACGGCACGCATTCCAACATGCTTCTCAAGTCCGTCATCGCCTCGGCGGCGTTCCAGCTCGCGGCCGCGCAGGAGCTGATGCGCTTTGGCTGCTCCCAGCTGACCATTGACCGCATCGACCCCCTCGTCAACCCGGGCGACCTGCCGTCGGCGCACATGCACCAGATCGTCGGCGGCAACTCGTTCAACGCGTCCATGACGCCGTCGGTCCACGACCCGCCGACGCTGTCGACGTGCACCTCGTGCACGTACAACGAGGACTTTTCCAACTACTGGACGGCCAACGTCTACTTCCGCGCCAAGAACGGCACGTTCAAGCGCGTGCCCCAGGTCACCAACCTGGGCCTCGGCGTCAAGGGCGGCGCCACCATCTACTACATCCGCGGCTACCAGGCGAGCGCCAAGGTGACGGCCTTCAAGCCGGGCTTCCGCATGATTGTCGGCGACCCCATGAACCGCAAGGCCAGCGCCGTGCCGCGCGGCGTGTGCTTCCGCTGCGAGAGCAACATGCAGCAGAGCCCCTTTGGCGGCGCCCCCTGCACGGGGTCCGACGTGGCCGGGTTCCCCAAGAGCCCGTGCGGCGGCGGCTGGCGCGTGACGGTGACGTTCCCGTCGTGCTGGGACGGCAAGAACACGGACAGCCCGGACCACCGGTCGCACATTGCGTACCCGTCGTCCGGCACCTTTGAGAGCGGCGGCGCGTGCCCGTCGACGCACCCGGTCAAGATCCCGCAGGTCATGTACGAGGTCATGTTCGACACGCGGCAGTTCAACAACAAGGCCGACTGGCCCACGGACGGCAGCCAGCCCTTCTTCTGGAGCATGGGCGACAAGACGGGCTACGGCATCCACGGCGACTACCTCTTTGGCTGGAAGGGCAACGCGCTGCAGAAGGCCATGGACTCCAAGTGCTCCGGCGACAACTGCGCCGCTCTGACGCGCCAGGCCAACGACAAGGCCGTCGCCTGCACCAAGGCCCAGATGGCCCACGAGAGCATTGGCGACGACAAGTGTAAGTAGAACCTGGGGAGGGTGGTGATCCGAACAAAACAGAAAGAAAGAAAACCCCAAATACTAACCTCCTTCAGGGCTCTCCGGCCTGCCGGGTATCGACCCCGCTACCTACTAAGCGTCATGGCATCAAGATCCATGAGAGGGATGCTGTCTTGTCTGTGGTAGTCGGATGTGAGCGAATGTGTTGTTTGATAATTATCATAGTCTTTGGGCTTATCTCTATTCTCGTTTACTCAACAATGCAAGGTAGAGATCGACTTCCTGTAAATTGTGCATGTAAAGCCACTGTCAGTAGACTTGCATGCGCATACCTTCCACTGATTGCCGAGTCTCGTACCGACTTCAAACCTTTCCCCCCGGATGAGCATAGATTGCAATCCCGGGTAAACGTCTTGGCCCCCGCTGCTGGGTGTGTTTTGTTTCGTTGGTCATCGTCCTCGTGTCGGCTAATGTGACTTACATCCCAAAATAGAACCAATGGTTGTAGGAAAGAGAGACGATTCATCCGCCGGCAGCGGCAGGTGAATCATAGCAAGAGGATGCCATCACGTGGAGTGGTACCAGACGTAAGGAAGTTTGACGTAATCCATCATGTATTAACGATTAGCATATGTCCCTTCCGATGTGTGTGTATCCAAGCCCAGAACTGCGAACCCCGTACCCAGTACCCAAAAAGTATAAAACAAAGAAGGCGCGCTGGCAGTAATGATGAGCTAGACCAATAACGAAAAACAACAAACAGAAAACAGAAAACAAACGAATTGTTAGTTGCAGAGGAGCCAAGACGTCACGAAAGCCCTTGCGGCCATGTACCATGCAGCCAGTTCCTGCTTTTAAAGGAATTAACGCCGTGGAAGCAAAAGGAGTTGAGTGAAAAGCAAACGACCCAATCAACGAGGTGCCAAAACAAAACGACAAAAAGGAAGATAACCAGCAATTACGACAGCCGCCTCTCACCCACGGACACCGGCATGGGCGGCGGCCGCGGGGCGTCCTACCGCCTGGACTTGGCGCCCAGCTCGACGACGCTGTACCACGCCGCGCCCACGAGCGCCACCAGCATGCCCACGCCGTTGGCCAGGCCGACCTTGACGCCAAACATGGTGATGCCCAGAAGGACCGTGATGCTTTGCTTGACGTTGCCGCAGACGGTCATCGTGAGGGCACCCGTCTGGCGGTTGGTGCTGAACGACGAGATGTTGAGGGCGAACGCGAGGGCGCCGTTGCCCGCGAGGGCCAGTGCCATGCGCGGCGCAATGGGGATCTCCGTGAAGCCGCTCGTGATGCTCGAAAGCTCGCCGGTCAGCAGGGCACAGAGCAGCGCCTGGGCGCAGGCCAGCGGGGACATGCGCAGCAGCGACTCGAGGGGCGACAGGGCGAGCGGGCCGGTCATGATGCGGTTGGTGGCCACCGTCTTGGCGGAGGCCAGCACGACGCCCAGAAAGGTCAGGATGAAGCCGGCCGCCGTGAAGTAGTAGTCGCCGTAGGTGGCCAGGCCGACGCCGCAGACGACGGGGATGAGGGACAGGTAGGTCTTGGTCGAGTAGGTGCGCTTGTAACGCAGGCGGTAGATGAGCACGGTGAAGACGGGGCAGGTCGAGCGCATGATCTGGTGGAAGGGGATCGAGACCATGGCCAGCGACACGTTGGAGACGGCAATGTTGACGGTGAAGAGCACGGAAAAGGCAAGCAGCACCGACTCGTCCCGGCGCGACAGCTGCGTGCGCCTCACCACGCCGCGCAGCTCCAGGACAGAGCAGCCAATGGACGCGGACCCGGCATGGATGGCCGTCAGCAGCCACGGATACGAGAACTTGCCCAATATGCTCTTGTTGTAGAGGGTCAGGGCGACGTTGCAGGCGAAGTACGCGGCCAGGTACGCATACTTGGTGGCGGCCGACACCGTGTACTCGGCCTCGGCGCCACCGCCCCCGCCCTTGCTCCTGCTCTCGACGCCACTGACGCCGTTGCTGGTGGGCAGCAGGGGCGAGCCGTGGTCTTTGTCCCACTGGACGGCGATGCCGTTGGTGCCGCCATCGAGTTGTGCCTCGACGTCCTCGGGGCGGCCCATTGTGAAGGACGATGCGACGTGGGATATATATGCGAGGGAGGGCTAGTGTTCGCCGCCAGACGAGATCACGGCGCGAGTGTCCCAGCTACAACTAGTTGCTCACGTTGACTCGAGTCGAATGAATTGAGCCGGTTTGTTAGCAACGGACGTCGATCGTGGAATGCGTTCTCCTTGTGGCTTTTTGGCTAAATGGTGTGCTGAGCTCTGAAATGCTGGAAGCTATGGAAGAAATATGACTGGAAAAATGCAGTAATCATGCAGACGACCGACAGTGCGTCAGATGACGTCGACAGAAACGGTCGCGCGAGAGAGTGAGAGAACTCAATGGCCGACGATGCCAGCGAAAGGACGGCGACAACTGGTGGAAGAAGCAAGCGATGACCAAAAACAGAAGAAGCGAGGGTTTCGTCTGGCAAAGAAAGGTCCGGCCGAGCGACGACGGAAGTTGGCGACTTCAAGGAAGGGACGTTTGACGACGCGCGGAAAGAGCTATGCAGGGCTGGACGAGACACATACCACGGACCAGGAAAGAGGTCGCAGGAGAAAAAAATGGGGACCTCGCACAACAAGGAAGGCACGAGGGGAGCGCCGAAAGGGAACAACGACAGGGGTTTCGGTACAAGTAGCGGTGGCTTGCAGTAGTGCTGGCGTGCTGGTAGCGCTGGTATTGTGCCTGTTGGCAACCCAGAAGACGCTACTGGGCGAGCCTTATGGCCGTTTTCGCCCTTTTGCCCTACGGAGATTGAAGGACAGGACAGGGAGGGCCCGCACCAACAACGGCACTGTCGAGGCTCCAATACCCGGAAATGGCTGTGGTGGTGCCTGCCTTTTTCCACATGTCACGTATCTTATCTTACGTGAACGACAAACGGTCGGGGCAGGTACGTTCGGATGGGAAGCAACGGACAGCGTAGCGAATGTACGTCGTATTTCCGTGGGAAGGAGCTGCGCACAGGTCGAACGCCACTGAATGTGACTATTGCAATTCTCCGTGGGTTTTGCCAATAAATTGGACGCCAGTCTGTAGCTTGGCAATAAAAGCTGCTCCCGTCCCGTACCAAGCTACCCGAATATCGCTGAACTGGGATGGACTAGACCTGGTTTGGTCTTGGCCCAGCATGACCCCCAACCGAAGACAATTCGCAACCTCTGTGTTTCACTGGTCCGTGTTTCCTTGGATCGGACCACGTAGCCAGGACTTTTGGCGACACTTTCGTTTAGGATACAAAAATCGAGAGAAAAACACACTATTGCCCCGTATAGAAGTACAGCTGCGTTTATTTACCTATGTATGGAAAGGGACACAAAAGAAAAATAGTCAGCCCGTCCCTAGCTAGGGCAGGCCTTTCCCGTCTCAACTATGCAAGACAGAAGATACATAAGATACATCTCGTATAATACGACACACTCTATCAAGTGGGATGCAAACAAGCATACGTCGTACGAACAGGTCCTCTAATGTGGCCAATCTTCTGGCGAGTCGCCACAAACACATTCACATTCCTTGACCTGTCACGCACAGCTCCTTTGCTTTCTTTTCCCTTCACCCCGGCGGACTTCTGGCAAGACGCTGACATAATACGACATGAGTTCGTTGTCCTTGCTCGCCTCATTCGCATAGTCCATTTTTCGCTTTCCCTTGCCCATGGGCCCCTCGAACAGACAAATCAGGCCATTCAACACGCCATTAGATGTACTTTTAAGGACAAGCGAAACCAATGCAAAGGTTCGATATACACGAGATGCATGCTGTCAATCCTGAACTGCATGCGAGAGGCTCTCAAGTAGGGAGAATGGGCAAGGGAGACTCCCACTCACCCGAGGTATGCATCCCTTTCTGCCCGTCCTCATTTCTTGCACGCCAACTCCCTCCAACCTGTCACGCCCTTTCCCAGTACACCATCTTTGTTCGGCTTCAGCCCTCGCAACTCTTGCTTTTGACTGCAAGAGACGCCGCTCGATTGGGCCGAGTGGAAAAACAACGTAGCTTGGTGAGGCGCGAACGCGGCATTAAAGAAAAAAAAAGGGCCAATATTGAGACAAACGACAGCCAATCTCGATTTGGATCACTTTTTTTTCAGCCGCAGCAATTGATTTCGAAACATTGGGAACAGTAAAAAAAATGTGCAAGGCCTGTTTCTCAGCTCTTGGCCGAGCCTTGCGTCTGTTCACGAAATACAAGCGGAGACAGTGCCCGACTCCCCCTTCTCTCCTAGTCAATGTTCGATGTTCGACCGCTTCGTAGGTCACAAAGAAAATGAGTATTACTGAAGTTGATATTTTGCTCACTGGAAGAACAGAGACGTGGTGTTCTTTCCTTTCTCCTTGGCAGCCCTAAAGCCCCTAACGCCCCCAACCAAGGGGAACCTAAATGCGCCAAGGCTCCCTAAAATGGACCGCTATTCACCGAGCACTAGGCCGAATGACAAGGACACCTTTTCCTTTCTCCCTTCACACCGGTTTCGTGTGCGCGTCCTTTTGCGCGTCCTTTTTTGTCTCCTGGTGTCTCGTCTTTTTGTCTTGCACAGACAAGCCACCAATCTGCATTGTCTCTCGGCTATATCGGCCCCCTCAAACAAGTCGTATTGTTGGTGTCCCCCACAGGATCACTCCAAATTGACATTGTCCAGCTGTACTTCTGTACCACTGAAACTCCTTTGGCGACGAGTACACAAATCTGACATTGTCCTTTCTCTAGGCGAGAAAATGTTTGGCAGCGGTTCCTTTGGAGACCATGTTGCTCATGAGTTGAACGTGTTTCGCCGGGCTCCCTCAAAACGAAGTCCCTCAACAGGTATCTTACCGCAATGTGTGTTTTCGCTACACAATAAACTGGGAGCCGGCAGAGTCCGTCACCCACCCGTTCGCCAACCGACCCAAGAACTGCGAGCGGCAGCAATCTATAATAAATGAATAGGGCATAGTAACAAGGGGAAATAAGCACTTTTTACGTAGATCATGTTTATATTGACCATATCGAGCCCTCCTGTGCGCCATTTCAATCCAACTCGAGATCCAAGTAAACAGAGAAGACGGAACGTAAAACGTATGTTCACGTTCGCCCAAAATGACGCCAATTAAAGATACAAAAAGAGGTGAAGATGTAAAAGGAAGAAGGTGCCCAAGATCTGGAAAGACATGGCTAATATGTTTGTATATGATGACATTGGAGAGACAAAAAAAGGTAAAGAAATGGCCGTAAAACTCCTTCTGTCCCGTTTTAGCGTTTTGTAAAAAATGAAAACAGACAAACAAAGCAAAAGAAACGCCGGATGTGTATCGTCGATAATGTTTGGGCTTAATATGAGTCGTGGGTGAAGGTGGTGGTGGCGAGAGTAAGTGCTGTATTAGTTGCCGCGGAACGGATTTTTTTATGTAGAGTCAGAACTCGAATCGGAGTTCGAGTCGGAGCTCGAGTCGGAGCTGGAATCAGAGGACTTGTTGGAGTCAGAAGACTTGTCGGAGTCAGAGGACTTGTCGTCAGAGGACTTGTCGTCAGAGGACTTGTCAGAGGAGTCGGAGGAGTCTGAAGAGTCGGAAGAGTCCGACGATGATTTGGCAGATTCGGCTTTGGCGGCGGCGGCGGCAGCCGCGTCCTCTTCCTCCTTCTTCTTGGCGGCCGCCTCGGCCTTCTTCTTCTCCTCGAGGGCCTTCTGCTTCAACTCGTCCTTCTTGCGCTGCTCCTCCTTCTTCTTCTCCTGCTCAATCTTCTTGCGCTCCTCGTTCTTCTTCTTCTCCTCAAACTTCTTCTTCTCTTCCTCCTTCTTGCGCTGGGCCTCGCGCATCTCGTTCTCCTTGGCCGCCATCACGCGCGCCTGCATGTCCTCTTCGTAGTCCCTCCAGTACTGGGCCACCTCGACCTCCAGCTTGGCCGTGTGGTTCGGGTTGTTCCACTCGGGCAGCAGCGCCTCGGCGCGGTCGAGCCACGGCGTCATCCAGCTGTCGCGCACACCCTTAGTACCCGCAAAGTGGACGAGCATGTCGCCCTTCATCACCTTCCACGGCTGCACCTTGCCGTTGCGGCCGTCGTCAAACACGTCTGTCGTGCCGTTGTCGAACATGGCGGGCGTCATTTTGTGGCTGAACAGCCACTTGCCGTCGGCAAAGAAGGCGTTGTTGACGGGCAGCGAGTTGTACCAGCGCATGGGCACCTCCGCCCAGTGGTTCTTGTGCTTCAGGGGGTCGCGCGCCAGCGGCGATTCGGGCGACGTGAGCAGGAACTGGAACGCGCTCTGGTCCCGGAAGCGGTCCTTGAGCGTGCGCTCCTTCTCGTACATGGGGTACGCCAGCACGCCCGACAGCATGGACGCGGTCCACGGGTGCACGCGCAGGGCAAACGCGCCCGAGTTGAGGCCGTCCCAGTTGGAGGCGATGACCAGGTGGACGTCGTTGAGAATGTCGCTCGTATTGGGCGGCAGGAACGTCTCAAGGCGGGTCGAAGGGTTGAGAATCATGGTGTCGCCGTCGAACCAGCTACAGACGAAGAAGAAAAGGTCAGTGTCCGTACCTATGTAACGAGTTCCATTGTCGCGGGCACACGCCGGAGACAAAACTTACAAAATCCATTCGAGGCGCTCCGACTCGTTCTTGAGCAGCTCCGTAATGATAATGGCGAGCAGGTAGGCCGGCTTGGTGTAGGCGCCGGAGCCGCGGTGCATGCGGTCGTTGTCGATCAGGTCGCTAACGACCTCGCGGTCGGCAATGAAGTGCGGGTAGCCATGCAGCTCGTTGTGGTATTGGTGCGTCTTGAAGGCGCGGTGCACAACGGGAATGTCGAGGGCGTTGACGGCGACGCCGACCTTGGCGACCTTGGCCATCGGGCCCTTGGGGATCGTGGCCGGCTTGGTGCCCAGCATGCGAGTGATGCCAAACTCGCCTGCGACGTCGGGTTGCTCGCCGAGCCGCACGGGCGAGTTGCACGAGGCGGCAAAGTCGACGCCCCGCAGGTAGTTGACGCACAGGTACACGAGGCATATTGACGTGAGGACAGCCAGCAGCCGTGTCGGCCGCTGGAACTGTTGGATGAGCATGGTGGGCGTTTGCAGGTGTCAGGTAGAGGATACGTATATAGGACAGGTATAAGCGCTTGGGGCGGGACGGGATAGGTCGACAGAGCCGATGCGGTGGCAGCGCGGAATCGCAAATTGGGCTGCGGGCTATGGGAGGTGTGTCACGCGTGTGTGGCCGACCGGGGAATCGGGAGAAGCTGCTGTGCTCTTTCGCGAGGCGAATGAAGGAGGTGGACGAAGCCGGAAAAAACGATAAAAAACGAGAAATAAAAACGAGAGAAAGAGGAAAGGCGAATACAAAAAGGAGAACAATGCTGAAACAAATGAGTGTATGTATGCAATCGAGGAACCAAGAGACGGCGTCGCGAGTCGCGTGTTTTCGTGCTGCCGATTGTGAAGAGGGGCGAAGCAAGGTCGTCAAGAAATGGAAGAGGTTGACGTTGGGTGACAGTATATCGAGAGGTCGAAGGTGCGCTATTTGGCGGAGGACCAGGCGTGCTCACGAAAAGAGCAAAGGGGAGTCGAGATCTGCTCTCGGCCGGCGCGACGGACAGGCCCAAGAAAAGCAGAGAACCAGAGTCGTTACGAGGACGTGACGAACAGGAGCGGAGAGAGAAAGAAAGGGAGAGACTGGAAAAAGCCACAGTCGAAAGAAGAAAAAGAAGGGGAAGAAAGAAGACCAAAAAGAGTCAAGGGGCAGACAGATGATGAGATACGAACTTGCCAGGTTAGGGGGTGTCTGCTAAAAACCAACGCCAGGAAGGGGCTAGGTCAGGCGAGCCAGGCATGTAAGTACACTTGCCCCCCCGAGACTGGAAAGACGAACCCGTTGAATGCGAGGATAGGGCAAGTGCGATGCTCGCTTCCTTTGTGGGGACTAGCACACGTCTTGGCGCGAGACGGGGAACAGGGCAAGCACGAAGAGGAAAGAGTAGAGAGTGGCTCAGTGGGTACCACGAGGAATTTGGTTTTAGGTAATTCCTCTTTCACGTCGTGCAATGCACAGCAACTTTAAACTGCATCGTAGGCTGAGAGCTGAGCCGGCGCATTTGAATCGTTATTTTCTTCTAAATTGCAGGAGCAAAACGCGGCTGGTATTGGTGCGCCAGCCACTGGAAAGCAGAGACAGAGGGAGGCGAGTGGACTTTGGGGGGTTTGGAAAAGGCGGCGCATTGCTCCATACGTCTCTCTCAGTATTTACGCAGGCTTGATTACTGTATTTCATGGACGGCGTTTGAACGGCGGGCACGCCCCACGACAAAGAGTGCGTCAAAGAACAGCCGAGTGCCAGCACGGCATAATCACTCATGGACGCGTGGTAAGATATCAGAGGACAGTACCCGCCATTGTCGTTCGCCGTCGTAAGATTGCCGGCTGTCCGCCCTATTTTTCGATTTTCCTAATCGTCTTCCTTTTCCCACGTGAGGGAGGCTAGGCGATGCTTCGCCATCTCTTAAACGTGCGCTGGCGTGGCCGGAATGCGACGACGCAAACTAGGGAGAAGGGGTGAGAGTGCTTCGTAAGAAAGAGGACCACGAACGCGGACCGAGCAGAAGCGACCGGTCGCGCGCAGCCGTTTAGAGATGTTGGCCGCAAGTCTGCTTTCTTCGTCCTAGCAATGTTGACAGCACGTGTGGCTTTATCGAATAGGAGCAGGAATGAGGGGAGATGCGTAAAATGTTTTTAGGATACAGAATACTTTGCTTCTGATGAGGTGTTTCTTCGTAGATATCGAGGCGAGCGAGGGACGTCGCAACGAGCTGCAAATTTGATATTGACGACAAGAGCCTTCAGCTGATGAATGGAGCAGTGCTATTGAAAATGGGGCCCCAATATTGCACACAAAGTTGTCGTGTACGCGCGGCCACGCAGGGGTCTGACGGAGCGTTTGGGACAACCAAACAGGGGCATCGAAGCCATTGGAAAGAAAAGACGGCCCCCAAACCGCATCTTACTTCGTAAAGCTGCAGACTCTAGGTTTGGAAAACGACGCTATCAAGGCCAATAGCGGGTGCGAAGAGATTGCACGTTCTGACCATTTGACCGTCTCACGACCGGTTTACCTCAAGTGGACGTCTTACGTGTGTTCTTTCCTCCAGGGTGACGACACATTTGGCGGGCGTGGGTGGGAAGAGACGGAACACGGCAAACGGCAACTACGGCTTGGGGAGAATTGGGGGGAACTCGTGTGGCAGCTGCAACGGACTTTGTACGGAGTGAATGCGCAAAAAGGACCCCCAAAGAAGGCTGGCACCTGGCTGTGAAGGATGCCCGCCGCAATAGTAAAACGGTTGCATTTGCGGACAAGAGTCAGTGCCTTTTGTTGGCTTCTGACTAGGACGATCTAACAAAAGCCAAGACGTGAAAACCGGGAAGAGGAGGCTGAAAACCCCCTGTCCCGCGCATGAATGGGTCGGACACGAGAAAAGGCACTTTGGACCAGGCTGGCGGGCTACTTCATTACAGGGGTGTGGGCTGGGGCATTCTGCATTGTTGGCGTAAATAGGGGGGCCAGCCAGCCAGTGAGTCGTGCAGCAAGAAAATTAATCTAAAAATAAAATAAAATAAAATAAAAAAGCCAGCCATTTCTGGCACATGTCTTGGCGAGTAGGTATGACGAGCTGGGTTGGGGATTGATTCAGGTTGTCCAGAGTCCGCACAGCTTTCCTGTTTATATTTAGCATGTCAGAACGATTGGCACGATAAAGAGTACTTTCGTGCAGGGGGTAGAGCCCTGAAGATTGCTAGATGCACATAATATTGGCGAGTCGTGAAATACGAGCAGGGGATATGGGCCGTCATAAGACACCAAACCAGCAGTCATACTTCTCTCGACCAAAGCATCACTTCTTTGAGGCAATTCATCTAACACGACTGACAAACGCTCTTGAAGGACGTGGATAGTGCTGGACATACGATGGACAGGTCAGCAACAATGGATACACCTCGGAGGTATGAATCGCGGCAACCAAGAAACCTGTCGCAGCAACGACAAAGATTGACAAAAGGATTGACAGAATTGACACATCGCAGCGGCTGGGCTTCTGGCTGCTGACGTTTGCGTAGTTTCATGTGCCACAATTCCCCACAGGCTCTTTCTTGTCAGACCGCGACCTTTGTCAAAAGAAACGGACAGCGCATAAAATATTTATTTGTTGCGGCAACTGGCATTCAATAGTGTCTTTTCATAAAGGTGATAGTTCCAAGTGATCGACGCTGTCGACGGTTGCCGTTTTGGGCACCAACAGCCCTAAAGAAACAATTAATCCACTTCAATCTGAAAGTCGATACAAGCCAGGACAGGCAAACAACCCACGAGGCTCCCTGGTAACAGAAAGAAGAAATACGTAAACTTTGAGCCGCAAAATTGCGTACAGCGACGAAAACATTGGTGAGCCACCTGCCAACAAAAACCACGCAATTCAAGATATATAAAAAAAAAAGCCAGACGAACAGCGACCAGCAAAAATCTCTCCAGATCAAGTGTTCTTTTGCGGAGAAATGAACGAGTAGCAAAACGCAAAAGTCAAAAAATCGACCCCCCTGGGACTCGAACCCAGAATCTTTGCCACCGGAAAGCAACGCCTTACCATTAGGCCAAGGGGCCGGTGTTCGCTTGTGAAAATACGGGCTTAACTTTTCTTATACAGTCATTAGGTACAAGGAAGTGGATCCCTTGAAAATTTAGTGGAAATGACTCTTTTCACATAAACGGGCGTATTATTAGCATCAAGTCTTTGAATATAACTGAAAGTCCACTTGAAGAAAAGGGGAAACACAAGGAACACGTACAACACGAAAGTTAGTAGAATATACCAAACTTCGTTTCTCCTCGACATGTCTTCTTCTGCCTTTCCAAGAGCCTGGGGAGAACTGTGTCCTTGTTCAATATCAATCAAGGAACAATGAAGAAAAACAACTGTTCGTGTTGCAAAGATATGATGTTTCCGAGTAGAATGAGTAGAATCTTACGATGGCACTTGGATTCTTCGTTTTATCCTTGTTTTATTTTACTGTACTCATGCAAGTAAGAAGAAGGCAAAAAATATAGACAAATAAAGAAATCGAGGAGAGAAAGGAACGGTACCAGTGTTTTGCGTTACACAATCCAGCTCAAAGATCAGAGTAGATACGAAGGCGCCTAGCACAAGTAGGTTACATAGTGTTTTCTGCGGGAAAGAAATGAGCACATCCTTGTGCACTTTCGGTTTGACTTTTTTTTTTTGGTGGGGGGGGGGGGTTTTGTGGCTGTAAATATGAGTCGCCTGTTCAAAACATCAACATTTTCGAGACTTGATTTTACAGGCCGATCACAGGGCGGAAGAGCCAACCAAGGCCCCTGAAATACGTAAATCTGGGGGCAAAGTTCGGTGGCTATGCGCTGAAAAGTGCAGTATGATTTAATAAGTCATCTTAGTGACATTTCTCACATCGATTCGAAGCAATAATCTCTTGTAGTATAGTGGTCAGTATACGGGCTTGTCACGCCCGGGACCCGGGTTCAATTCCCGGCGAGAGAGAAATTTTTGTCACCCTACATGGTCGGTTTTTTTTTTTTTTTTTTTTTTTTTTGGCTGGCCTTTGTTTCTATGTGCTTTTTTGAATATCACGTAACAAAAGGTAGTTAAAAGAATTACATTTCCTAAACGCTATGTATATATAGAGTATCGACTCCGTCTACGCTTCTAGGACAGGTCAAGAGGCAAACTGGTATAATTCTCCCACCACGGCCCGTTTCCTGGCCACAACTCTTGGAAGACATCTGGAAAGAACACTTTGTCATCTGCGGAGCAAGTTTCGTTCGCCTCGGTCATTTCTGTGCACGTTTCGACGGCGCTGCGTAGCCTAAGGACGTCTAGAGGCTTGATGACGATGGTGCCGTCTGCTTGGCGATGCAGCGCCCATGACCGATTCAAGCTATCCATGGCGCTTTCGAAATTCGCGTCATTGGACTCCAGGCTGGATCGAGGCTGAATGTGAAGCATTTGCAGCGGTCCCTGTCCGTTGTTGGAGACGACGCCGAAGACGGCGCGAGCGAGCGTGGCATCCACGGCGGCGTTCGCAAAGGTCGCCTTGTTTGCGTAGGCCATCAGCCGTCTGTCGTCCCCCGAGAAGACCTCGGATCGCCTTGCAGCATCGACCCCTAGATAAATCGAACAGACGAGACGAATAAGCAGGTATTGCAGGCTGGGCATCCGGCTGAGCGCGCGGTACAAGGCGACTTCGCCGCAGTCACCCCGAGTCCGGTCCATGGCCACGGAGACGGCTTCCAGGAGCGGGAACAGCTCGGGTAGTTCCAGGATGGCATTAGGAGACCAGTTGAAGAAGGTTCGCGGAACGTCCTCACCTGCGTCGTGGTCCCACAGGTACTCCCCAAACGTGGCAATGGAAAGGGCCCGCAGGGTCGCTCCGTGATGGCGCGCGATGGCGTTGAACACAATGTCGGTAAAGACGCCCTTCATGTGCAGGCGCTGCAGGGGTCCCGCGTTGCTGAAAATCTGCAGCATGTGCGCCTGGCTCCGTGCTGGCTCTTGCACGAAGAACGTGGTGGTGAGCCACAGCACCTCGAGGGAGCGAAGCTCACCGCGCGCGGCATATTCGGCTAGGGCGGCGCCGACGTCGTGGTCCCACTCGACGTACATGCGCCGCACCTTTGTCATATCCCAGCATTGGAAGATGTGTGCGGGCAGACCCGTAGCAAGACTGAGGTTTTGGAGTGGCGCGCCTTTCATGGTTGTCGTTTTCTCGGCGTAGTGGTTTTTGAGATCCGCATTGTCGTCTCCGAGGAAGAACCCGCCGAATTTCGGCCGACCCAGGTCGTCTGCGTCGTTCCAAGCCGACGTTTCCGAGATACCAGGTCCGAGCGAGACATTGGTCAAGTTTGGCGCCAGGCCGGCCATCATCTGCTGGAGGGCGTAGTCGTTGTAATCAAGCAAGCCGTCCTTGTTCAAGGGCTCGACCCGGGCACTGACGCTGTACAAGGCCGGGCACGTCATCAGAGCATAGTCGTCCGCACTGATGGATCGCGGATGGTCGCGTTCGTAAATGAGACTGCGCAGCTGGAATGCACAGCCGGACATGTGCAGACGGCACATGTGCGCACGCGGCATCTGCACTGCTTCGAGCACGGCACGGGGCATGTGCCACGAGGTCCAGATGACATCGCGCAGGGCGGGTAGCTCGCGCATCAACTCGGCAAACGCCTGCCACAAGCCCGGGCGGTCGCCGTGATCGAGGTACCAGGGCGCATGTTCGCGCAGGCGACAGAACGGGTGCATGACGTCAAACGTGCCGTAGGTAAACGCTTCGTAGGGTGCCTGGTCGGCGCTCTGCTCGTCGAGGTCTGATTGCAAGTCTGGATCTCGATTGGCCCTGGCGGCGAGACCTTGCACCCGGAGACGGCGCACGTAGCCATACCGGCGGCCGTTGTCGCGGCCGAGCAGCGCCCGAAATTGGGCAACAGTCGCGTCGACGCCGTCGACAAATTGCACACAGACCACAATCTGGCAGAACCGGCGCGGGTCGGCCGCCTCGCAAAAGCGACGGCAGGTCAACGAAAACGACCACAGGTCGCGTCGATCAGCCGACTCATCATCAAGGAGGTCGCAGATGCGGTCGAGGATGAGGTAGGGCAGGCCGTCGACAGAATGCGCCGTTGATGCCATACGGTGGTGGTAGCAACGTCTGGGGAAATGGTCCTCTTGCGCTGCTGAGAGTTGCAAGGATTGCAGATGTCGTCGGATCGTTGTCTGTTGCGCCACGCTACTTTTAAGTTGTAAATTCGTACCTATTGTGACGCTGTTCTGCTGATCCTGCCCCGTTGGTTGGAGATGGGCGCCGGGTTCGGTAAGAAAGTTATGCTAATGCGTAATCGTTAAGCTAGCCAATCCACGCAGCGCTGCGTCATCCTTGCCCGAGGGACGGGAGAAGCAAATGACATCGGATTTGTTTTTCGTATCTTCAGATTGGTGGTGCTTCACGAGGCGACGCATTGCAACGGCGTCCAATGGTCGTATTGGACGGGCGCGTCACATCTCAAAGTAGAGGTCGTAATGCCGCGCACAGCCCGGGTTGAATGCCGCCTGGCAGCCGGGACAGGCACTGTTGCAGGCCATGTACTCGGCAATGGTCCATTGACGACGGCAGCGGCCGCACAAGACGACGGGGACCGTAGCACGCTCAGTCTTGGGCCAGCACGTCGACGGGTGTTTGGCCAGCGCCTCGTGGCAGCTGATGCAGGCGTAGTAGTTGCCACAGCACTTGTGGCGGATGGCGATGATGTCGCGGTCCGAGTGCCAGTGAGCACACTGGGTGTGTGGCTGGACATCGACACCATGGATGGCGATGTCGTCGCGGGCTTGAGGAGACGGATTTGCCATGTCGAGGGAGGTTCGCCTGTGGTACGTTGTTTACAACTCGGCTTCGCGGGGAGCGACTTTGGCACGTCAAGATTTACGGAGGTAGTGTAGATCCACACGTGACCTCACGGGACTGTTTACATCAGGGGAACTGCACCACCTATCACCAGTTGGGAAGGAGGCATTTTGGTTACTGTCTGGCAAATCAAATTTATAAGTAGGGGTCTATAGCTGCAGGATTTTTTTCAAGTTGGGAGGAGGAATATATAGCGCTTTTGCAAGGTTTTATTATTTTTCATTTTTGTAAGATTTATCTTTGGAGCTTCCAGCAATGGTGAAGGAAACTGAACTGATCGCAAGCGAAATCAAAGTTTTACGCCTTTTATTTCATGCCTCTTCCTCTACACAAAACACCTGGAGTTCTATTTTCAGTCTGTCACATTTATCCTATTTGATCTGGAGATCGTTTCTTTTCGCCTATTACGGCCTGCTTTCCGGCTCAACTGCCGCGTGCCGTCTTCGGGTATAGAAACATCAACGATCGCCCATTCTTCGCAGGCCACACATATATTAATACTATCTTGGGTCATAATGAACAAGCGAATGCAGGGAAACAATACATTTGAATTTTCCCGGCGAGCGTGCTGCTGTTCATGTACAGCGATCCTACTGGTCGGGAGTCCGATATAGGGTTTGCGTAACCACTTCTTGTTTCTATGGGAAATATATGCCGTCTCAACAGCCAGACGTTCATCTCATGTTTCCCTTTCCCACTATTCTTGCGGTCCTACGACTTTGTACGCGGCACAATATATCCACACTCGAACATAGCCACTCGATTTTTGCCCAGAATTTGTTACATTGCGTCCGAGAAGATGCTATGTTGCAACGCCCCGCCTCTTTGCATGCCACAAATTCGTCGTCACATCTTTAAGTAACAGGTTAGAATGTGTGATTTGAGACGTTACTCTGCAAGACACACCGTAGACGGTGTGTGGGAGCAGCAAGAGTTACCTTCGTCCCAACAATGGTTGAGGCGCGGGACAAACGAGGCGGGAGAAAGCATACGTACACATTCTACCGCCCTTTGCCGTCCTTGGTCCCATTTAGCAGGAACGGGTACCTGAATACTTGCTCGACTATTTCTTTTCACGGATGTGCCATTGTTCCGCCCGCGCCATATGCACGTCTGCTCTTTGTTTGCATGCTACTGAACAGCCATCTATGGGAAGGCAACATGATAACAGATTAACAATATTATTTGGGCATCTGAATCTGCCAATGCTCCGCATCGGCTCGACATGCCCATTCCCATATGCAGCCGGCTCCGCCTGGCAGTTTCTCGTCATATTGCGTAATCTTCCAATTATCCCACCTGTCCGCAAAGGCTTGTAAAAGAGGAGTTGCGTCCATGTTGTTCAGTCCACGTTTGACGATTGAACGTTTTGGTTTCTTGGTTTTAAGTTTTTGTGTTGGGTTTCTTTTTGTTTCGATTTTGATTTTGTGACAACGGCTGATCAATTTCAATTCGTTCGTTTTTCCTTCTTGGCAACAAAACCAGGATCACTATGGGATTTTCACGCCGATTCCCGTCGCTGCCACTGGCAGTCGTGGCGGTACTCTGTCTCGTTTCGAGGGTCGCCGCCGACGACGTGCCCATCTCTCAAGACGGTTCATGCGGCTACGGCATCGTGTCGACGTGTATTGGCTCCGAATACGGTGACTGCTGTTCGGAGCACGGCTGGTGCGGCAACACGGCGGATCACTGTCTCGACGGATGCCAGGCCAGCCACGGCTTGTGCGGTGCGCAGTATCTGGGGGTGGGTGGCGGAGGTGGTGACAGTGGAAATGGTGGAAGCAACAGCGGAGGCGGCGGTGATGGCGGCGGGTCTGTGGCAACGACGACCATCGGCTCGGTCGTGTACGTGACGTCGATTGTGACGGCCCAAGTGACAGCCACAACCACGGTGACGCGTCTGGTGCCGGCGTCGTCGACGCTGTTTACGTGGAAGACGTTTACGAAGCTGTCGACAGCGACCACGACGACAACCGAGACGAAAGCGACGGCACTGACCACGGCGACGACGACCTCGACGAAAGTCGTGACGACGGGCACCGTGGCGTCGGTCGTGTCAGTCGTGGTCAGCGAGACGGCGATAGCGACGGTCACGGTGACGACGATTGACAGCACGAGCACAACAGCGACGAGCATGGTGTACGTCACGAGCCTGGCCACGGCGACACAGTCGCTGACCAAGACGCTGCTGTCGACACACTGGGAGACGGCGACGGCGACGGCCACCGTGACGAGCACCAACGCCATCTACGTGACGGACCTGGAGAGCTCGACGCGGGTGCTGACGAGCACACGCTACACGACGCACTGGGTGACGGCCGAGACGACGTCGACGTCGACCGACGTGGCGCACGAGACGGTGCTGACGACGAAATGGGCCAATGCGACGTCGACGGCCGTGGTGACGGCGACGGCGACAAAGACGGAAACGGCTGTCGTCACGCAGACGCAGCTCGCGACAGAGACGAGCACGACAGTGGCCGTGTCACGTGTGACGTCGACTATCATTTCGGACTTGACCGTGACAAAGACGCAGACGCAGACACAAACGCAGACACAAACGCAGACGCAAACGCAGACGCAAACGCAGACGACGACGATTCCCGTGACCACGTCCGTCTCCCGCACGCTCAACATCACGCGCACATTCGATGTCACGCGCACGTGGAATGCGACCTCCGTCACGACGTCGACCGCGGTCTGGACGTCGGACGTCATCCACACGTCGACCGTCTACCGCACGCTGACCAACACGGTCAACGAGACGCACACGGTGGACGTGACCGTCTCTGTGACGGTCGACGTGCCGGTGAGCAAGACGCTGTTGACGACGGCGACGGCGACCGCGGTGGTCACACACGTCCAGGAGACGACGTCGACGCACGTGATTGACACGACGTCGACGGCAACATTGACAGCGACAGCGACAGCGACAGCGACAGCGACAGCGACAGCGACAGCGACAGCGACGGCGGTGGTCACGCACGTCCAAGAGACGACGTCGACGCATGTGGTGCAGGCAACATCGACGGCCACGGCCATTGTCTCGGTCACGCTGCCGCCGGTGACGGAAACAAAGACGGTGGTCAGCACGGTGCACGTCACCCTGCCGGCTTCGACATCGTCGGCGTCTTTTAATGCGACGAGAGCGGCTACAACGACGACGACGACGACGACGACGACATCAACGACGACAACGACGTCGACAACAACATCGACTGCGGTCGTTCGCGTTGCAAACGACATTCAGCCAAATGCGGACCGTGTTGCCTTTGCAGACGTTGCAAGCAATGCAGACAACGCAGGCAACGCAGGCAATGCAGACAGCACGGCCGTTGTGTACGTGACGTCGACGCGGATGCACACCGTGACGCAGATTGAGGTGGCCACAGCGACTGTGGCGGCGGTTTGAGATGCTGTATGTGTACATAGTCGAGTGGCGAGGTGGAGGCTGTAGATGCACAATTGATTTTCAAAAGCTCGGTTGATTTTCTGTCTTCGTCCTTTATACGCCCCGGTCCGGAACTAGATACAATATAAATTGACTGCGATACTGCAATTCTCCTGACACGCCTCTATTCTACGCCCCCTAACTTCCCCTTACCCAGACACCTGTGTGCCCTCTCCGATGCTGCCGTTGCTGCCATTGGTGCCGCTCTTCTCGCCATCAACAACGACTGCGACATTGGTGGCATCTGCCTTTGCCTCCGCCTCTGCCTCCGTCTCTGTCTCCGTCTCTGTCTCCGTCTCTGCAGGCTTGTTTGCCTCTGGTTCAATGGCAGTCTCTCCGCTGCGGTCGGCGCCTTCGGCCACGAGGACACCGCGGTACCGCATCGTGCCCGCCTTGAGGTCCGTGTTGCACGCCTCGATGCCGGCCACGGTCATGGGATACTCTTGGTTGACGGACTGGATGCCGTGCCGGACGCAAAAGTTGAGCATGTCGAGGTACCCCTGCTTGGTGGCAATCATGGTGCCCTGGATGGTGACGCCCGAGAAGATGAGGTCGAGGTGCGGGTAGGTGACGTCCTTTTCAAACGCCGTGAGCGGATACAGCGTGGCGCGCGGCTCCAGGATGTCCAGAAACACGCGGTAGTCGGGCTGCGCGGTGCTGCAGACGAGCAGGTGGTCGAGCCTCTTGATGCCCGACAGACGGGCGCTGCTGGCCCGCGGCAGCACCACAAACTCGTCGGCGCCAAACGCCGTGGCCGCGGCGCGCTTGGCCTCGGTCGTCGAAAAGGCCACGACCTCCATGCCCATCTTGTGGGCAAACTGGATCGCCAGGTGGCCCAGGCCGCCGACGCCGACGACGCCGCAGCGGTCCGTCGCCTTGTAGCCGCGCTGCTGCAGCGCGCCAAAGACGCTGGCCCCGGCGCACATGAGCGGCGCGGCGACGGCCGAGGCCAAGGCGTCCGGGATGGGGAACAAGAAGTTCTCGTCCCACACGGCGTGGCTGGCCAGCGAGCCCTGGTCCAAGTTGCCGAAGCCGTACATCTTGCGCTGGAGGCAGTAGATCTCGCCGCCCGACAGGCACTGCTTGCAGCTGAAGCACGCCTCGTGGACAAAGCCCCAGCCGACGCGGTCGCCACTAGATGCGTCAGAATGGCTCGAAAAAAAGTGAAAGCAAAAAGAACAAGGAGGAACGATCAGGATTGGAAAGTGGACAGATGTACATTTTGTGCTGTTTGACGGCGGGACCGACGCGGCGGATGATGCCGACGCCTTCGTGGCCGAGGCCCATGGGCACCGCCGTAAAGTACGTGTCCGTAGCACAGTAGCCGCTGTGCGTGACCTCGACGAGGCAGTCGTTGGGGCCGACGGCGCGCGTCGTCTTGACCGGCACCACGCGATTGGCCTTGGAGCCACAGTACGTGACAAAGTGGACAGGATCGGCCGTCATGATGGCGGTGGGAGATGGATGTTTGGGGGCGGTATTGGTGGAAATATA